AAAAAAAAAAAAAAAAAAAAAACGAAATGAATCGCACATTTACATCCCGTAAAATATATCGCAATTGCGAAAACGAGACAAAAATAGAAACGGTGCGGATTCAAAGTGTCTAAATAAAGAGAAAAAGAAAACAAACACACACCCGTCTTAGACCCCCTCCCGGCAACTTCGTAGTATTTCAGTGTCATTCTCTTTTCTTCGGTCTTCTTTCTTCACGCCCGCGCAAGGACACCGCGTGTAAAGTAAACTCGGACGTTTGTCTTTGAGCGATGAAAGTGGATCGTAAAAATAATGGTCTGTCTTTGAAAATTCTCGGGATCAAAGTTACGCACTATTGATTTAAAAATATCTTCGTGAGAACGACGCTTGTGTGTGTCATTCAATTTTGTAAGAGAGAAAGAAGAAGAACAAAAAAAAAAAAACAATCTATTGATAACTTATTCTCGACGTAAATTGAAAAAAACAATCGTGTGTCTCTCTCGCGTAAATTGCACTCGACGAAAGAAAAAATAAGATGGGTGAATTTGCGAGAAAATTACAAGATAAATTAAGCAACGTGCGATGGACACACGTTTTCGTCGTTGTATTGGCAAGGGCGAGGGAGAAAAAGAAAAAAGTGAATTGCGTGGCGCGTTGTAGAAATGTGAATTCGCGCTGTTTCGGCCGACGGTTATACTCGCCGATATTGTCACACTCGAGGCCGATCGATACAACTTGTGTGTAAAGCTTTATACATAGTGTAGAACGGTTTTCAGACACGAAGCCGACAGAAAGTCAGGAAAAGGAGACTATACGTAAAACACAGCGTATCGTATCGCGATACCGATAATCGTGTATAAATTTGCTAGATAATTTTTCTATTTTTACGTGCAATTGAATTGCATTGGGAAACAAACATTTTGCGATATATTTGCTGATGACGTGAGATATTAATTACGATAACATTGGACAAAAACAAACGTACATGAAACATACATGTTTTTTTTTTTTTTTTTTTTTTTTTTTTTTTTTTTGTATAAAATTCCAACACGATTATTTATTATTACATCATTTCTTCTTGATAATATTTGTTGAAGTCTATTAATTGTTTGGTCTACTAATATATTTACACATGATATACACCGTTTATTGCGTAAAATTAATAAAACTATTTTTGTTTAATGTAACAAAAAAATTTACTTGTTTTTTGCTTTTATAATTTAATATTTTTATACGTTTCACAATAAAAAGTCTGCTTTTATTTTTATCGCGACGCACAAAAATATTACTTAAAAATATTTTTCATTAATTATTACTAATTGTATATTTTTACGTAATATAACATAAAAAAAAAATTAAAAAAAAAATATACCGCCCAACGTGGGGCTCGAACCCACGACCCTGAGATTAAGAGTCTCATGCTCTACCGACTGAGCTAGCCGGGCGCTCGGGAGAGAGATCTCTTCTTTACGGTATTTCAAACGGACGTTACGCGCAGAGATGCAATACAATCAGAAATTGAAAAATTTTTTTTCTTTTTTTTTTGGTACAGGATAGAGGACTTCCAGTACCAGTACCGGCTTTCGACGGACCTAGTGCCTTCGTCCCTCTCTCGGAGGTAAGTAAAATTGCATGCTCGTTGCTTTTTTTTTTTTTACAGAAATTAATAACTCGTATCTATAACCAACAAGTATACGAGTCCACTCTCGTTTTCTCGAATTTTTTTAATTGAATTTCTAAAAAGAGACAAATGTAAAATCCGTCAAAATTCGACAGATGGAAAAAAATGACGTGCGATTAGCGGTAATGTACGTTACTTTTGAAAACAAAGCGTCTTCCTTTTTTTTTTTTTTTGCAGTTTTATCGCATCAACACGTATGTACTTTAAATGTTTTGCCATCGGTGGTATCATGCTATCTTATGCAAAAAACGAAATTTGCAATTCAATACCGAGTACAAAACAACACGCTGTGATGTAAATAAAAAAACAACCACGTACGCGATGTATTTGGCGTTGCAGTTTTAAATAATATTCAGAATATATAATCTCTCTCTCTCGGTTTTGTTGTCTCTGCAAGGACGATTTATCACACTCGTAAAGAGCGTTATTTATAATTGTTTCCGCGCGGTTAAATTTAGTTCGAAATATTTCGATACGCATATTTCTTGTTAGTTAATATCAAACGCGACTTTTTTCCCGCAACTGAACTGGAGGTGTGTGCGCGTCTCGTGAGAATATAAATTTATGAATCCGCGATCGGCGATGCGTTAAATAAACGTTCGGTTTTTTTTTTATTCTTACGTGTTTTATTTTCGTTTATTTTAAGAGATTCGTACGGATAACTGAATTATTATCGCTCGTGAGCGGTGCTGCAAAAAGTGGGACGTGAAAAACGAATCGGTTGACGTTACCGCGAAATCTGGGCCATCGCATTGGCGCCATCGTAGCGCTTGATGATTTTGCCAGCTGATTGGCAATGGTCGGTAAACGAGCCGGCTTTGACGATTGGTTCACGCTGTACCGAGTGTCGGAGCCAGTCTACGATTTCTTGTACCCCGATGATCTTTAATTTACTCTCATTAAGCGCCTACTCCGCTGTAGCTGTGATACGTTCTTGCACCATGTACATGAAGAGAACTACATTGCCGATTCAGTGGACAGAAAATTTTCTGCAAATATTTTTGAAATCTTTTGTCCGTAGTTGTGAAAAAATGATATGCAAAAGTTATATAATGAACGCTTGACAGAATATTTTATTCTTTTATGTTGAATTATGTAATTATGTAATTTTCTTTAACATTGTTCTACAGTTTTTAACAGAGCTAGAAATTGTTATATATTCAGTGAAATTGTTTGAGAGTGTATTAAACATAAATTCAATTTTTCAATATTTTTCTAAATTGCAAGTTTTGAAGTTCTATATTTTACATCAATACATGTATATCAAGAAACACACAGATAGGGATATTGATTGCTGCGGTGCTCGGTAGGTGGCGCCAATGATCAAGTTATCGCGCGCAGCTTCGGAGAGCGTAATTAGCAACGAGTAATTGTCACTGTTCGACACAATCGCGGCATTTTAGTGTATTGCTGATTCGATCGGAAATGTTGAAGAAATTTTTAAAATTTTTTAAAAGTCACGTACGGAAGAATTTGTACTTTTTTAAATAATTCGACAAAAAAAATTTAAATTAACTGTCTATCAATTGTGAATTATCACATTGGTCAGTAATATCATTAATTGATAATATTATTTAATTGCTGTATAAATTTTAATGTATTTTAATTTTTTATAATATAAATGATCTATGTGCGTGAATCTCCGCCCGCATATCGCGTTAGAAAATCGCTCATGCAACGCACCGCACATACATTAATGAGAAACTCACTTTGCAGCGCGTTGCAATTTATGTTATGATTATTAATAAATTTATTGCAATATCTCTGTGAACTAAAAGTTATCGCGAGCCGGTGCGCGATCGTTATTATCGGGATAAAGTATTGCGTAATGCGGATCGGAATGGGGAATCTCGCGATTTTTGATTTATTTGTTTGCGCGTCACTATCGGATTTAATGCGCTCGGCTCGGATAAGATAATGATTCGCGCTGATTAATGCGCGCGTTTACGTAATGCACGAAAAAAAATGTACATGCTCGAATTATCGCATAAAACGTGTGTCGAATTAGCAATAATTATCCGCACGTGCAACGCAACGTGGATATCGGTTTGTTTTCTTGCCGCGTAGAGAGAAAAGATACTCTGTCGTAAATAAATAAATTTATCGTTATATACGCACAAATCGGACAGCTTTAAATTTTGAAAAATTTGAAAAATAAGTGTGAAATTAAATTTTCCACACAGGTCAAAGTATTGTTGTCAAAGTACATTTCATTACATAGTATTTATAAACAAATTTAAAAGTGTTGTTACGTGCAATTTGAAATGTGATCAAGAAGAGAGACTTTATTTATTATTATGTCACTGAAAGTGACATAATACGTAGTGTGCAAAAAGTGATTACAGTGTACTTTTCTTGAGCCGTGCGGCAAATCGCACAGGTAAGTGACAAAAGATTATATATAATTTTTCCTCAGATAAATCGTACACACGCGATCATTTTATTAAGGCAAAACAAAAAAATCGAATTGTTTTACATAAGAGTAACAACGACAGACAAAAAAAAATGTAGTTTTGCCTGTCTCTGTTATTCTCCACGTACATAAAAAAAAAGAAAAAAAAACAAAAACGTGCACGAGAGATGAAGCAAACAAGCTGGTTGAGACGGATGACGGCAAGGAATACGCTTTGAAATGATAGCGGTATTATATGTTATTCTCATATGTGTGGAATATTTCCCAGAAATATCATTTCAGAACAGCAGTCAGTTTTTTTTATTACGCGCGAGCATTACGTGTTACAAATGTTTTCCGAGTCGTGTAATCGTCGAGAGACACGCGAACGTTTTTCGCGACATATATATTTTTAGTACTTTAAATACTTTTTTAACACAAAAAGAAAAAAAAGAGAAAGAGATCTCTCGAGGGAAGAAAGGTGTGATGTATGGCTTATTGATTCTTCTGTCATCCTTACATTCTTCGGCGTTGCCGAACACGAAGTGACGATCGATCATCGGGAGAACTGAGATATCAACCGGTGATGTATCGCCGCGCACCCCGGTCGACGATTTTTATTATTTTTCCAGATCCGCGCGCAAGAGAGAATAAGAGAGAGAGAGAGAGAGAAAGATATCTTGTGTTACTGACACTCGATTCATTTGTCATGCGCGTAATATCACGGTCGCGCGATATTATCCTTGGATGCGGACATGAATAGATATTGCAGAAAGAAACCGCGCGTACGTTGGATTTATGCATGTATGTAAAAGGGGCGTAACCGCTTGCTACCGCGGAAGATAACTAACCTACCGCGATTCTAGATGGAAACGATATTATATGTGCGGAATATTATGAATTTTCTTCCCTCTTTATATGAAAGAGACATATTACGCTGTTATTTTTCACGTTTTCAAAAGGTAACGAATTACGCGCTTACACGTATCTCCGCTCTTTTTTTCGGGAGGGGGAATTTTTGTTTTTTTGTTTTTTTTTTTCTACTAAAGAAATATTATTACTCGCCGTTTTATATTCGCCGGCATTTTTTTATTGCGGCAGATTATTAGAGAAAATGTATTTTCTCTCTCTCTCGTACTACAATCGCGCCTCACATCCGCGCCGGTCAATTTCCACAAGATATTATCGAACGTTCTTGCCTCGCGATAGAGTTTTCCTTCAGACACATCGACAAATCGTGCGTGATAGCATCGAGAATAGCTCTCGAATAAACCAAGTTTCATCTTTATCCGGAAAATTGTACAGCGCGCAATCGTCGGAACGTTGTTTTGCGAAAATGAGATAAAAGCGACGGTCGCGCGCGCTTTGTAAGCGCCTTTCGGAGATCGATTCGCGCGCGGCATGTCGCCGAGGAGATACTCGAGGTTTTGAAGAAAAAAAAAAAAAGAAAACAAATTATCATAATAAAGCAGCACGTGGGAGGCGAGATAAAGACACGCGCGGGAATCTTGTTCGGGTCAATAAGATATTGTTCCTTGGGTCAAGCGAATCTCCGCTCATACGTGCCTCATACACGAGCTCCATTAGAGTCCGAATTGAATCTTCGATCTCATTTGTTCTTTTTTTCGCTTGGAAGCGATCTGTATATTGCACAATCAGCCGCTGATAACGCGCTTGTGGATGAACTATTGTGGACGACGCGGACGTTTCGTATTCTACTTCGAATCTACTGTTTCTCCGCATTTTTCTCGGAATTTAGAATTTAAATATGTGTTCGGAAAATCCCTCTTCCTTCCCCCCACCCGCGATGTTATTCTCGCATTATTGTCAGACGTCAAAGTCGAAGCACCTCTTCTTCTATCAACCGGAAATAAATTTGGACTTTGTATCATCACCTTTTCATTTCTACATTGTGATTTTTTTTCCCCCCCAGTAAAGTGATCAATATTAATTGCGTGGGATTTTGCGTTCGCTTAGTCCGAGTTTAAAGTCCGCCGCACACGAAGAGCGCTTCGCTGTGATGTAAGAGTTGCGACGCGGTTCATCGCGCTAATGACCTTGACTAACGCTTAAACTCGGTTGCACCGCCATTTCGATATCTCGCCGTGCGCGGTGTGTATCTAAAGTGACCAAAGATTTACTCGGGGTATTTAAGACCGGTTTAATTGGGACGGTTACCAATTCCGAGTGTTATCAGCGCCGAGTGTATTAAGATAAACAAAACCGATCGTTAATTTTCTTTCCTCATTATTTCGTATCCGTTAATCCGCACACAAACGATGTATTCATTAGAAATAAAAATAAACAAAATTTCGCGAAGAATTAAAAGATAACGTTACTTAGATAACATTGTTTAGATGATCTCAATAAAAGGGGGATACGTCGTGCCAAAAACCTGAGTATCACAGCAGCGGTTCACGTGCCAGGTTCGAAGTGGAATCCCGGTAGCGCGGTCTCTTAGCGAGCAGTTGGAAATCGGCACTCGATTCGTAAAGATTGTTCGCAATCGGCTAATAAATCGAGGATCGTTTCGCATCGGACATGT